TATCAAATCTTTAACGCCAAAATACGCACATAATACTCGAAAAATCTCGCATTTTCTGTAAACAAAAATTTTCTATTAGCCTTATTAAATTTTTTAAAATGATTCATTTTTCTTAAATTTTGTTATTTGTCCCCCAAATCGTAATTTAGACCCATTGACGCGGTCTAATTTGATGTGGGACACCCTGTATAATTTAGACCCATTGACGCGGTCTAATTTGATGTGGGACACCCTGTATAATTTAGACTGTTAACACAGAAAAATGTGGAAATTCACATTGTCAAAGCTAACAATGAATTATATAAACATTATTTATCATCATTATTTTTATCAAAACCTTGAATTATATTATATACGAAATTCATTTTTATTAAACATCATAAAATCTTGTTTTATTAATAAAAAGTAAGACTTTTGTAGAGAACCTACATATTTAAATACGCATATTCTTAATTTTCAAAACACAAAATAATTTTAGCTTTCTGCAGTTTTATTTCCATGGCTTTAATTTTATTCAATTCATTTTTTCGTTCATAATTATACAAAAGTAGGAATTTTTATTATTTCGTAGATGTGCACTGGTTAATAATATATGGGTCCCGCGGACATTTCGCCTTTATTTGGACACAAACTAATCAATAAACAGCCAAAAAAAAGACAAATAAAAGTTTAAATTTTATATTTTCACTTTGGATTTTGAAATCTCACTTTTTATTTTTTTCATGAATCTCACTACCTTAGAACTTGACACTTTATACTTTTATTTTATAAAACTGGGGCATTTTATACCTATAGGGGGGGCATGATACCCCTAGATAACTATGATCGCAGCGATCTTAAGATCCCTTAAATCGCTGATCGTAAAAGATCAACAAAATCACAACATCATTACAATATATCTCTAGAAATATAAAAGTTTAAATATTTTTTTCTTATCGCTCTTATCCTGATGGAAGTTAAAGAAGTTTGCTCATTTTCCTTTTCATAAAATTATGGATATTTTATCCAAACTTTCAATGAAAGACATTTCAAAGTTTCCATTCAATTTCCAGGGAAAGGAAGTTTCTATCACCTAACCATGATATACTGGAGACCATTGGAGGAGGATTGGGGTGAATACAAGGCCCTGACGGATTTTAAAATGATTTTATAAAAAAAATATTAAGTTTGCAGGAAAATAAGTTAATTTGGATAATTTTTCATCGGGAATTCTTTTTCTTTTAAATTTCGTCCATAATAAAGTTTCTTGAAAGTTTTTAAATTAAAATATAAAAAAGTTTGAAAATAAGGTAGATTAAGGCTTTCATACTCCCAATTAAAAATCAAATACAAAATAATTTATTTGTGTTTTTAAACATATTGAATGATTTCGGGGCCCATTTAAAAGGCTCTATTGTTGAATTTGAGCGTATTTTGAAGGTATACTCTGGGCAGATGCTTTTACATTCATTACTTCATAAGTTCAGTTTCCTGAAATCTTTCAAACCTTTCGTATTAAAACCTAGTGAGATCCATTTAAACCTAGTTGGGTTCCTATTAAAGCTCAAGTTAGGTCCATTTAAACCTAGTTGGGTTCCTATTAAAGCTCAAGTTAGATCCATAAAACATTTCTAGGTCCCTAATCATGCCGACTCCATCAAAAAGGAAGGAATATTGAATAAAAACTTGGAAATATTTGAAATATTCCTTTTTAATGAATACTTTTTATTCTTGATTTTGATAATTTGACAAATATTATTTGACAACTTTTGAATAAATAAATCAGGAAAAAGTTTAACTCACCTTTATTCCTTTAAAACGCCGCACTGATTAGTTTAACACATTTGAATCGACTTTTATAGTTCATTCTATTCATTCAAAAGTCTTTAACTTCAGGGTCCGTATTTTAAAGATTTCTAAATCATTGCCATTGCAAACAAACAAAAAAAAACATAGTTTACTTCAAAAAGTTAATTTTAATATTTTCGTTTATTTGTTTCAATAGTTGAAAAATAGTGAAATAATTAAATGTTTAAAGGATCTGTAAGAATAATTTCATGTGACCCTACATACAAAGATGGCAATGCTCTTTTCACCATTGTACCCTAGAAACCTTTATCTGATCAATAAGGTGGAAGAAATTGTCGATTTTTCTACAAATCCTATATATATGTATAAGTCAATTTTGTAGAGCAACCACAATTGAAAAAAATCAGAATTTTTAAGATTGTAAATATTGATATCTAACTCATACTTTAAGCTTTTTTGGTACCGTTTTGAATCGGACATTGCCATTTTCGCATATCAGGTCACTTAAAACTACGCTTACAGTCCCTTTAATACAACTATTTTCAAAAATTCCTTGATTCCTAGGGTTAGGTTTATGACACCGACAAAGCTGGCGGTCAAAGCACATCAGCGCCACCGCACCACACCAGCCAAACTTAGAACTAAAACTATTTTAGTTGCAGGAACGTAATTGTTATTTCTAATTATTAGTCAACCTCGGGAGGCGCTACGAGGTCACAATTTTGTAATGTTAATATTACAAATTTTCTGTCTAATTTCCAGTATTTTATCTTTCAACCTCAATAAGCTAAATTATTCAATTTTAATTTTTGTGATTAAGAAAACGTACTACTACCATTTTTTAGTTATAATTCGAATTCTTAAATTTTCAGTTGCACGCTTTTAGATCACATAGCAATGATAACTCATCATAATAATATCTCTTTATAATAAAAGAATATTTTTACGTACAAATGTAGATGTACTTTATTTTTTTTTCAAATCACTCGTTTAAGTATTAGGCCCAAAAACTAGTTTAATCATAGATGGTAAAATATTGCATATCTAAATTTAAGAAATGTCCTGTTTTACAGATTATCTAACTTTGAAATATTCTTTTCATAAAATGTTCTATTTGTGAAATTTCTTATCTCTGAAATATTCTATCTAAGAAATGTTCTATCTAAGAAATGTTCTATCTAAGAAATGTTCTATCTAAGAAATGTTCTATCTAAGAAATGTTCTATCTAAGAAATGTTCTATCTAAGAAATGTTCTATCTAAGAAATGTTCTATCTAAGAAATGTTCTATCTAAGAAATGTTCTATCTAAGAAATGTTCTATCTAAGAAATGTTCTATCTAAGAAATGTTCTATCTAAGAAATGTTCTATCTAAGAAATGTTCTATCTAAGAAATGTTCTATCTAAGAAATGTTCTATCTAAGAAATGTTCTATCTAAGAAATGTTCTATCTAAGAAATGTTCTATCTAAGAAATGTTCTATCTAAGAAATGTTCTATCTAAGAAATGTTCTATCTAAGAAATGTTCTATCTAAGAAATGTTCTATCTAAGAAATGTTCTATCTAAGAAATGTTCTATCTAAGAAATGTTCTATCTAAGAAATGTTCTATCTAAGAAATGTTCTATCTAAGAAATGTTCTATCTAAGAAATGTTCTATCTAAGAAATGTTCTATCTAAGAAATGTTCTATCTAAGAAATGTTCTATCTAAGAAATGTTCTATCTAAGAAATGTTCTATCTAAGAAATGTTCTATCTAAGAAATGTTCTATCTAAGAAATGTTCTATCTAAGAAATGTTCTATCTAAGAAATGTTCTATCTAAGAAATGTTCTATCTAAGAAATGTTCTATCTAAGAAATGTTCTATCTAAGAAATGTTCTATCTAAGAAATGTTCTATCTAAGAAATGTTCTATCTAAGAAATGTTCTATCTAAGAAATGTTCTATCTAAGAAATGTTCTATCTAAGAAATGTTCTATCTAAGAAATGTTCCATCCACAAAACATTTTTCATGAAATGTCCCAAATTAATAAATAAAAAATGATCACGTGACCTGACAGGGATGAAAACTGGAGGAATTAAGAAGCTTCTCGCCTTTACGGTCAAGGTATAAAATAATCATTAGAAAGACAACTAAACTAAGACTAAGACAGGTTTAGCTATGCACACTAAACTAAGCTAGGGATAGGTCAAACAGAACTATGGTAGAATAGGTTTGAATTCAAATTGACCATAGTCCAGCGTGTGTATATAGGGTGAACTGGCTGATATGGTATTAGACTATCCTTCCTATCCCACCATCTTAAATCCCGGTAAACATGAGGCATGGTGGTTAAACTCTAATGAGTTTTAGCTTAAGACCCAATTTCAACCTTTTAAATGTATATTTTTCGTTATTGCTATCGTATGACATTTTTGTTGGAATATGTAACTATCAATTTAAATATTCAAGTATTTTTGACGGATTTCTATTAAGAAATTAAAATATGACTAAAAACAGATACTGACAGGATGCATTTTGTTGTTGTTATTTTTAGTGCAATGCACCCCCCCCCCCCCCCCCC